TTGATTTCACATTTTGATACTAATCTTCCTTTTTGGTTAAAAAAATTTCTCCCATGTTTTGTCATCAATCACACAAGTTTATTAAATCTTCAATTTGTTAAAATTTTTTTTCTAAATAAACCGTTGGCACATTTAAGGCATGTTTTTGTCTGTGGCATTAGTAAGAAAAAATAAGGCACCTATCTGATAAAAATATTATTACATTCATTTCCTTTGTCAAAATTCTATCAAATGTTGTAATGATAAAATGTTAGTGTCTAAGCAATGTCTAAGAGATCATTTTTAAACAGTTTTCAGCTCAGTGTAGTGACCATGCTTTATTTGAAAGAGAATTTCTTTGCAAGGATAATAGGAAAAATCACCACGTTTTCAGTGATTTAGGGCTCTTTAATAGAACTTTTTAACTGTGAAAAAATAAAATTTAATACTTCTATATTTATTATGATATACTGTATGTTGCATCATTTATTAAACAATCCTCGTACATGCACAGATCCTGGATTTATTTCCAGGGTGATTCCCACATCAACTCTAACAAAATGTCAAACATGGTAATTAATTTTCTTCAGATAAATGACTCCATTTCTTTAATATTTAGGAAGGATCCATGTGTTTCCAGAGGGTATGGTAGGTTGGAGTTTAGTTCAAGAAATTTTTTTACTTGGTAATAGAAATTCAATAACTGAAAATCCTGCCCCCTCCAATCCAAATATGTGGTAGTTAAAAATAAATCATGCATCTTAATAATTCACTTTTCAGTGCAGCTGTTAGCTAAAAAAATTCTAATAATTGGTATTTATCTGTCTGATATTAAAGCTGTCAACACCTCTAAATAGGTTTGTTGGTTTGGGATAGGATTTAAGCCTAGTTTTGATGTCATTTATGTATACCTAGTCTTTGTTATGGAAACATTTTTAGGTGATCCTCAGCTGACATTTAAAGGTCATAATCTTTTTGTTTATTTTTTTCCTAAGGAATCTTTTGTTTCTTATTTCATTCTTTTTACACAAATCCAAAATCACATTGCAAGGAAATGATTGTATGTTAGGGAAATGAAATTGTTTTTATAACTTTCTGTCCTGTTATGATACAGACTCCACTCCATGACTCCACAAGACTCCACTCCACTCCACTCCACTCAGCTTTTTACCCCAAGCCCAGCACTGATCAGATATATTTATGATGGCAAAAATTTTCATATAATTATCCACTATAGTTACTGATAAATTGGCTATTATAACTTACACTCAACAAAGAATAAGTACATTTTCAGGATGAGCCAATTTGAACCTTAACATGTGGCCTTCAGAAGAAGAGGATGTAAATGTCTCAGCCAATCAGAGACACTGTGGCCACATTTGAATTTCAAACCTGAAGTAACCATGCATTGCACACAATCAGAGGGAAAAGTGGTCATCCTGGAATGTCAAGTACATTTTGTCCCCCATGGACATTTGTGCTAAGGTTTGCTAAAAGGCAAGCAATAGTATTGTAAGAGAAAATGAAAATGGCTCTGTTATTACATGTTTTAAAGCTACTGAAGCCTTTTAATTTTTCCCCATACTTCAGCTTCATCACAACAGTTAAAGTATGCATGATACAAAATTGTTAACCTATAATAGATGGAAAAATATTGAATTAATATATTCATATTTTGGTAATAGAAACTTGAAGATAAATGAAATCATTCAGGGAAATGTTGAAATTCTTCCCAACTAAATCCCTACAACCCATCAGCAATTGATCTAACCAAATCTAATATATTAGCACTTAAATTCATCATGACAAATAACACGATTGACATTCCATTCCATTTGTGTGATTGACATGTGTTTAAAATATTATGCCAAAATGGGATTTTACATGACAGGGCCAAACATGCACTTTTTTTTTAAATTTGCCAACACTTAAATATAAATGCAGGAGGGTTTCCATTGCTAGGCTCTATTTGGGAACCACATCTTTTTAGAGCCTTGGGGATCCTTGACGCCAAAATCAAAATTGCAGACTCTTTTTGCACATCTATATGAAATGGCTAATCATATACGGATAGAATTTTTTGGCTAACTCTAAAACTGTAGAGGAAATGCAACAAAACATGATGGATGAATGGATAGACAGACCCATGGATGAGCAGACAGACCCTAGGGTGGATGAATATTGGACAAACATATGGATGGGGATAACAATATACCCGAATGTTCTTTTAGAAGGTGTGGGTATGATAATGGGTCAATATCTGCTAGAGATGCCTTGAATTCACAAAATATGAATGTTTGAAACTTGGCAATACTTTTGTATGATCAATTAAATACTAGATGTGCAGAAAATAAGGGTTAATGAAACACTGAGTAGTTCTGCACTATTCACTCATGAAATGTGGAGACCTCTTATACCCACAATCTGTAATTTTGCCATTTGGTTAAAAGTCCATCAAAAACGCAGACATTAATTTCCACACAGGATGGTGATATTTACAACAGTATCAGTATAATCATGATAATAGAGGGATGATTCTAACTTGGAACTCTCAACACACTTGTCATTTCCATAGATCAATCTCAGCAACTTGTGATTCATACAGCTGAGTTCATATGTCCAAAAACAAAGAAAATTCAATTTCAATGATGCTGTCCTCATTATTATAACTGTAAAACTGAGTTTTTTATAAAATATTGCCTACTAGGTTATCTTTAAAAAAATATTTGGTTGCCTTCTCCCGACCGACTGGCTATAAAAAAATGGCCCGACTCAAAACTTTTTTAATCTCCAGGAAGCAATTATTTTTTTTATATATTCTAGACAAAAGATTTTAAAAATTTTGCATTGAAATTGAAATTTTCAAAGTAAAAAAAAATTTCTTACCTACTTACCGACCCAGTTTTTTTCATCCTGAGTCGTGAGAGGGCAAACAAACATTATTTTAAAGTTGGCCCTAGGTTACAAAAATACTGGTCTGTACTCCTCTCACTCAACTTTTTATTCTAATTCACATTAATAATAAAATCTATTTATAGTAAAATAAAATAAATAACCATATATGATTAGTGTTTTTCATAAGTTCTTTCATAATTTAAGATTTTAATCGAAGTTTTTAGGCATCTTTGATAATTTTCATGTAATTTTTGTCAACATATTTATTTTGGAATTAAATAAAAAAAAAAATTATGACTTCATCATTACAGGTATGGCTCACCACAAATATGGGTGAATAACAATTACCACTGTTGATCAGTTTCCAAAGTTAAATACAATATGTGCTAATGAAACAATCTAAGGTCTGGTCCAGGTATTCAATAGGTTCCGTAAACCGGAACTCGACAAGACAAGAGAATGATGCAAAGGAGGACCTGAAGACAATGCACACCTTAATATGCTCTCAAGTTTGATCTGCTGAGATTAAAATCACTGTAGTTCTGTTGATCTATTGTGCATTCTTACATGCTGTTGTGTCTTTGTTTTACATATACAGGATACAGACATTCAAATACAATTAGTTAACAGAAGATCACTAATTAGCATCTATTCACTGGTACACTTGCACTGTTTCTCTCAAATATCATCATAACATGAAATCCAAACAAGCAGTATACATGTAATATAAATACTGAACAAAAAATTATACAGTAAGAAAGCATCCTTTGTTTTTTTGTAATTATAATCAAAGAACATTACCACAACATTTCTTTTATTAATTCAATAATGCAAAAATGAACTATGCTTCTTCAGGCAACAAGTTGTTAGCAGAACCAGACAATAACCAGTCAATTCCAAATAGTTCACTTGTCAAGTATTTTATGTATATATGCTGTACTTGTAAACTAAATAACTAAAATAGTAGTGAAGGAACAAATGCCAACTAAATAATTTCTCCTAAACAAAACTACACATAAAAAAACTGCAATCATACATAAAAAAATAATTTGTTCTATCAAAAAGTAATTTTTCCCGCATGCATGACACTTAGTTGCATCTGGTGGACTTCATAATTCAATGTAACCTAAGGTTGCCTTCTGACACAAATTACTACAACATATTCCATATATAATAATGATTTAATAGAATTTTTTAAATGTCAGTGTATTTTTAGCAGCAAAGTAAATATAAGAAACATTTAGTAACTTAAATGACTCAGTGGACAGATTACTCAATTTGTAAAATGGAAGTAGGGAGTTCAAAGCTCAGAGGATGAGGCCCTGACTTTTGAATTTTTTTTATGATTTATTTGCCTTTTGCTTTAAACGTAAGGCCAATGGTTTTGTATTTTATACCAGTGATAGGCAGTGATTGAATTGTTCTTGAACACATCAAAATTTTGTGCAACTTTTTGTTACAGGTTTTCTTGATGTGATGAATCTGAATAAAATAGTCTAAAATGTCCTCTAATATTAAGTCAGATGCTGGAGCTATAACAAGTTCAGCATAAAAAAAACAACCACCAACATTGGTAGTGACTTTACACCAGAAAAAGTTCTAATAAAAACAAGAGAAAGTGCATTTCTCCCTTTTTCAATGCTAATTCTGGCAACCTAAATAAAACTGGTGATTGTGATCCTTTAATTGTTTCTAAGCATACTGCAACGTACATAATGAAAAAAAAACAAAAGACTATCTCATGCCTTTATTCTCTATAAATCAAATCAGGACTGGTTGTATCAATCCATGCCCTAATACTTACTGAACTGTCATCTTTGGACGTCTGAAAATGGTGGCACATTTAGTCAAAGGTTCTAGTCAAGTTTCTAACAATGTTCTAGTCAAAATACCATCAACTTTCCTCAGTTCAATTATGCTCCAAACCTTCAACTTTTCAAGGTTCTTTAAACAATTTGGCTAAAGCAGGTAAGTTGATGATATCTTGGCTTTAATGAAGACAGACTATGCATAGCATATTGAATAGCAGAGTTATACAGGCAGTGCAATTACAAAGTCAGAATTATCACATCTGTAACTTTTTAACCTATGATGACCTTTAACCTTTACCCTGATGAAACTCCTACCTTGTTCTGATCTTTCCAGTACAGGATGTAGCCCTTTGGATCCACCTTCAAGGTGACAGGGGTTCCTGTTTGTGAACCCTAAAAAGTTAAATTATATCAGTTAAGAAATGGTTTCTGAATCGTTTAATATACCCTGGTAATAATTATGGTAAAATAATCCATCAAATACAGTGAAAAAAGTACAAGTCAAATATTGTGTGATATTCGTGCTAGCTCCATTTGGTTTTGTTGCTTTATTACTTTACTCTTGAGGTTCTTAGAGTATCTAAATCTAGAAAACTCTCTCATAAACAGCTTTAAGGACCAATGCCTGACTTCAATGGGGGAAAAAAATTACCAAATGTTGTCTTAAACACAAACCAGAAGTCTCAGTCTGACAAGACTGAAGCTCTTCTGGATTGAACATGTAAAAAAGGATAAGAAAGCAGCCCCTGACTTAGCAATGGCAACATGAATATATAGAATTGTGATACGTATAGTTTAGTTTATTAAATTCAAACCAAAAATAGTAGGAAGAGTAGTGTTTTAAAAGAATTTCATTATTATCCTACTTTTAGTGACCATTGCAATACTTTTTCTCTAAATAAAAACTGAATACAGTAAAACTCATATAGTACGAACACGAATATAGCAAATTCACGGATATAGCAAATTTTTCTTGGATCCCCAGCTATATAAATTTAACAAATTTTTTACACGGATATAACGAATTACGGATATAGCGAAGTAATTTCACAGGTCCCGGTGACTTCGTTATAACAGAGTTATACTGTACATAGAATGATGTATCATAGTGTAGTCCACTTGTGCACCTATTGAAACTGGACCAGAAATTAACTAATTGTGTATTAGGTTTTATTGAAATTGTAGGAACAGATGCATTTACACAGAAATTCTATTTCATGTACCCATGGAATTACTGCTTTATTAATTGATTGATTGTTGTTTTTTGTCCCTTGCAAGAATTTTCACTCAATTGAGATGTTATCATATACCGGTAAAGGACTTCAAATTTAGATATTTACTCGGCATTCATGGTAACTGAGCAATGTGGGTTCTTTATCATGCCTATTAATGCCTACTATGACATCTGACCTCAGTTTCGAAAGTCCCTTGACTTTCACTTCTAGTGCCAGGCACTAGGCAAAGGAACAGTCCCTACCTGTTTAGGTATTATGGTTAAGTTTGATGTTGGGCTAGGGATGAGAATAGAACCCGGTACCTCCTGATTAAGAAGCCACCACCCTATCAAGAATTACCGCTTATAGAAATCAAAAACAGATATATTTATATCACTAGATAGATTTATGTATCTTAGTGAACTCTATCTGTGTACAATGTCATTGAAATTGGACATAAACTGTAGAAGAATTCACAGAATTAAGCTCTTCTAGTCTTTGATCAGTAGAGTTAAAAAATGAGAAAAACAAGAATGAAAACCTGCATATTGTTATAATTACTGGTACAACCACTACCTACTGCTTACAGGGTTTATTACACACTTTTAAATGATACAGATTTTTCTTTTGGTCTTAATTAAGACAATAAAACCTTGAGTAAAGGCAGAGCTACACATCCTGAATTAAAATAATGAGGTGAGCAATGTGACTTTACTGCAAAGAATACATGATTCACTGAGATATAATGAGGAACATTTTTTTTTTCAAAGGACCATCATGCTGCCCAATTCTCATTACTAAAGATGGCATACAATCCATATCAAAGTCTTAACTGCAAAATGTTGCAGTACCAATTCATTCTTCATCATTATAACACTAACAACAAATGTACACCTTTTATGATTAATATTATCCATGACTGGCAAAAGATATCTAATAAGGTACCTGTTAAATTCAAACAAATTCAATTCCTTTAACATATATGCTGGAATAGAATAATTATTAAACTTAACTTTGGTGCAGTATCTACAATGCTAGCATGTTGCAACTGATTGTGAACTTTTTTTGAAAATTATTTATTGCAGCATATATACATGCAGCATACACACATATATACAGTAGATCTACCATACTGCACCAATCACATATTTCATCTGATTAATATGAGGTCAATTAACTTATAAGTAATTATTGTTAAATATATATATAATTCAATGTGAGGTCATAACAGCTGTTCAATATGCAGCTGTTAATCAGAACATGTGCAAATATAACAATTAGCAGTTCATGCATGTCCACAGGTGTTTCAAATACAATCAAGTCCACATACAGAGGGCTTTGCCTTGTTCAGTTTCATGGACCAATTTGTGAAGACTACTGCATGTGCATATATATTCAGATTTACTGCTAAAATAACTTAAAGTCACTTGGTCTGATTGCATGTTCCCTGTTGTTATGGTCAAATGAAATATTTCTGGTTGTTAATGAAAAATAATACTTCACAGAAAGTTGAATTCAGAATAAATACTGCAACGTTAGCCCAGTATGATAATTTTTCGGCACGGACCGGCGACATCCAAAAATAAGAATTCAATGCTTATATTTACATTCTAATTTTTTCTCATCATAATTGTTAATTTTGCTAATCTTTATTATGAATTTAGCCCCTTTCAGAAGTGGTGTGCGTAAAAGCCATTGTGATGTGGAAATTAAACTAAATAATGCAAAGGGGGGAAAAAGGACAATTTTAAAATTTGAATAATTTTAAATGTACAAATTATTATATTTTACCATAAATCAATGGGGTAATTGTTTTTAATTAAATTGAGCCAAAACAATATAAATATTAGTGTTCCTAGAGTATTGAATGTGCATAAAGTTCATACTGTGTATTCTACCAAACAGTGACAGTGAGGTTTCGTGTCTGTTACAGGGTATTGAATGTGCATAAAGTTCATACTGTGTATTCTACCAAACAGTGACAGTGAGGTTTCGTGTCTGTTACAGGGTATTGAATGTTGTAGATTTCCAATAGATTTCATTCAAAGAAACCAAGAATCCACCAAATTACACTGAATGATGTAAATATTTTGAATTTAATGTATGTGTTGTGGTCATTTGTGTTCTGATCAGTTAACCATCCACCCACCAAAACCAAAAAAAAAACACCAAAAAAACAATGGATCCCTGGAAGTCATTTCTGACTTTGTGATTTGATAACCATTTGTAAGGAACTACATGAAAATATCACTTTATTTGAAAAGTGAACTTTTAAGTGCTGATAAATGCTTGTTATTGCAGAATGAAACTTGAATAATTCCAAATCCTCCCACACAAAGAATCATGCTGAGAAGTTCATTATTGCTATTATAAAATTGTCTTAGCATGGTTGCATTGGTAAAATTACATCTTGTTTATATGAAGATTATCATCCAGTTATATCATTTTACATTCTGTACAGAAGATATAAATACCGTAGACCTTTTTTTTATCACCGAAAGTGTCTGTGATTCGGGTAAAAACGCAACCTGTTGTAAAGTGTTGATAATTATAATAATAATTTACCTGCAAGCAAATTTTCAGTAAACATGTTATTAAACTGGTAGCCTCATTCTTTAACTAACAATGATGGTCGCATGATGTTACGCTATGTAGGAAGGCAGTTCCTAGTTATTACAGATCCTCTCTCCGACTGAAACCTAACACCTGAATTAGACGAGTTACCCAAAACACTTATATATTATTTCACAGATATACACGAAAAACATGAAACACTAATAAAAGCTGGCAACATATATGAAAAGACAGTATCAACAAGCAGTTTATCATAATAAAATGGAGATGGACCCATAATTCCTGAAGGGTTTAAAAGCAATCTTTACATTGATTGCACCGAGGACGGTAGCTATTGACAATTTTTTTTTCTGTGGTCAATTTCCAGAAGATAATGGTTGCGAGTTTGAGATCCTGTTCTGTCAGGACAGAATATTCATGATTACAGACTATTCCTCATATGCACTCTGGGATCATAGAAATTTCCAATAAAGTTCCCATCACAACTGCTTCTTACCAAATGCCACTCTTTTGGCTTTTTTTTAACGGACAAAATGAACATCAAAAGTTTGCATTACATTAGTCTTCTGTAAGACAACAACTGAGGAATGCAGATGTTATACATTGTACCATAAAGGTATGACCTCCTTAACAATTTTTTTTAGCAAACCGATATTGATATTACTGGGGTAATAATATTTTATTGACTATAAATGTCTACCCATTTTAAAGGAAATATCTAGAGAAATTTCATCAACACATATAAAAACCTTCTACAGTATTTCAATGTCAATACATAGGACACCTGCAGCTAACATAATTGTTGACAAAAATAAACTGTCCTTGCACAAAATAATATTGAGTCATGTACACATGTACTCCTTACCTTAGACAAACTTATGAAAGAAATTAAAATCTATTTTTGAAATTCAAAAGCTTATAGTCATTTTGGATAACAAATGCAATCATCCTGACCACAGAGCAGGCCAAACTACTGTCCTCATAGAAAAGGAAGAATTAAAAAACAGATACCAATACAAATCTAGAAGGAAAAAAAGATTTTGGAGACATCATACAAAATGTTTAATTTTAACATTTTGGCTTTTCTCAAATACAATAAAACTTGGTTATAGTCCTAAGGACCTGCAAATTTACTTTACTATATATCCATAATTCATTATATTCCTATAACTGATTCGTTAAAGTACATGTATAAATTGAATTCGCAACATAGATCTATGTTTTCCTTCAAGTACGACTACCAAATATTATCTTCGAGTATAAAATATGTAAATTTCATTATTTTAAGCTCTATGGGGCACAAAATCAATTCTTCATAACTGTAAATTCGCTATATTGACTTTGTAAGAGTAAATTTTACAAGGAATTCAGAATTTTGGTGGGGATCAAAAGAAAGCTTAGCTATATCTGTAAATTCGGATATAACGTGTTCATACTGAATAGGTGCCCCTAACCTTACAAGTTCATCAAACAAGTAAAACATTTCATATACTCTACTCACCAGAATAATAACCCAATGCACTTACACAATTGGAAAAAAGGGACACTAATTTAAGATCCACATTTAAGTATTCTGAAGGAACAAAATTGGATGTATATTTACCA